TAGAGAAAGGTTTATATGTATACTTTTACAAAAATTAAATTTAAGTGATTTTTTTACATAAATTTATATATTAAATTGAGGTGAGTCAACTCATTTGATTTATAAGTAACAGCAATGCAAGCTCTTATATATAAACATGTCCTATGACTGCTATTATTTATTGATTCAACCTGTAACTATTTATATTATTAGCTAAAAAAAAAAAAATTTGTAAAAATATACTTAATATAATATTTAATATTTAATGCTTAACACTTGATACTTGATACTTGACACTTGACAATTGATACTTGATACTTGATACTTGATGCTTGACACTTGATGCTTAATACTTTTTGGTAATACTTAACAATAGTAAATTAATAAGTTAACAACAACAAGTTCACATATTAAAAATCTCTAATAACTTAGACAAGTTATTTCTTTTTCTCTCTTTTTAAAAATAGTTATTCTTGTAAAAGATTCTTTAAATACAAAAATCTAACAAATAGTTTTATCTTTTGTTATTAATAAAGTTACTGTATATTTTATCTATAAATCTCTATTATCTTAACAAACTACCTCAAAAAAAAGTACAGTTTTTTAACAGATTTAAGGAATTACACTTATCTCTTAAACACTGCTATAAATCTGTAAAGGATCCCTGTAGCCATGTCATTGTTATAGTAGCAAGTTTAAGAAAATCTCTCTACTATAATAATATGATTAATTTAAATACTTAATAACTCTTTTAATTCTATATACTATATATATATAAATTGAAAAAAATCATTAAGCATTAAAATTAATCATGTTAATACTAAAATATTTTTATTTAAAATTTAGTTAATTATTGATATTGGGAATGTGATAAAATAAAAATTTTTAAAAAACTTAAATGCATATATTTTGACAACAACATGGTCAATTTTAATATTTATGGGCTCTTTTAAATTCTATATACATGTAGAATTCAAAAAAACCTTTAAACATTAAAATTGATCACATTATTGTTAAAATATTTTTGTTTAAATTTTGTCAGAATCAAATAATTATTAATTAAATTTTTCTTAAATTTTCAACTGCAATATTTTGAGATCAGCCTAGCCAATATCAACGTTTGAGGCCTCTTTTGAATTCTGCAAGACTGTAGAAGTCAAAAGACCTTAAACACTAGGATTGACTGTGTTGTTAGAAAATTTATATTAATTTAAAAAAAAAAAAGTGGGCTACAATGTATGTTCATGATGCGTATAGCAATTTTTATTATAAGTGCCCAACACGGACGTTTTATCATCTACAGAAGTATAGATGATCAACTTTAATGATATTCTTTTGTTATGAAAAATTTCAAATCGCTTCGGATACTTACGGCGGGTACTGTAATTATTAGAGTCACAAAAGTAAGAAGAAGGCTAACTAACTTAATAAAAAAATTACTTCGTAACGACTCCAGATTTGGCTTCATTATTAAACTCATTGAATTTGCCCAACTTTTATTATGACGTTAGTGCCAACTTCTCGTGGATTACCATTTAAATTTATAAATTTATATCAACACTAGTATATAAGCAATAAAAATTTGCCTAAACATATTTATTTGGTTAAAATTCAGATTATAATCTCGAAAAATATATTTGATATTACCTGCATGTAAAACAGAGCAATAGTTCAGAATTAAACAACCAGCACAAAACAAAACTTCTTCACTTTCTTTCTTTAATCATATTCATCTGAATCTGACAAAATACCCGAATCATCAAAGCTAATTCTGGAATAAGGAATGCGTGGTTTTCGTATATGAAGCTTGTGTGAATAAAGACGTAACAGTTTATCTCTATCTACAATGTAATCATCGTCTTTACCATCCTTTGGTCTATCATCATCTTTACCATCTTTTGGTTTATCATCGTCTTTACCATCTTTTGGTTTATCATCGTCTTTACCATCTTTTGGTTTATCATTGTCCTTACCATCTATCGATTTATCATCGTCTTTACCATCTATTGGTTTATCATCGTCTTTACCATCGATTGGTTTGTCATTTTCATCATCTGATATTACTATAACTAAATCGTCTTCAACTGACTTAGAATTGCTTAATGATGATGAATGCACACCATCAGTTTGCGGTTCTGTTACTGGTGTATGATCAATTTCCATTACCGATAGATTTGTTTCTTCAATTTCCATCGATTGTTGTTGAACGACACTAGTTGGCCGAGAAGTATTTATGTTGCGTTTGTCTGAACTAATATTCTGAACATTTTGAATATTTTTTTTAAAAATTTTTGCATAAATCTTTTCTTCTCCCGGTACAGGGCCTGTAATTTATCAAATGAAATTTAATTTCTCAAAAAAGGTAAAATCTTCTGTAATATAAAGGTAGATACCTAAATTGTTCAAAACATATTCCGCCGGTTTAAAAGGATCGAAATGAAGTAACTGATTGTTTGGGTTGACTGAAGCTTTTGCACTTAAGTTTGACGTATGGCTCACCGGTGTGTTGTAGTTTTTCGTGGGCGAGTTATAATGAGGAATATCTCTCGACTCCATAAAAGCAATCCTACCGAGTGTGGATAAATATTGTTACACGACCTTTTCTTATTCGCGAAATTCTGTCCGAATCGTGGAACCGTCTGTGTTACATGAACATTGTTACACAATTAGACAATCGCTCGATCTAATTTTGTAATTGATAACGATAAAGCATTTACAAAAGCAAGATCAGGTGTAACGTGACGAACAAAACAACAATCGCTCTTTTTTGAAAAGACAAACAAAAAAATTCCTTGCAAAATTTTAGTATAATGTTGCCTACTAACTCTAACCTCAAACCCTAACCAAGGTATCACATTTTAATTAGGTGATATGTAAATTGGCGCAAATAATCCCAGCCAATAAGAAACCTGGGGGAAATTATTGATAAATTATTTGATTAGTTTGTAATTATATTCAAGTACGAAAACTCGAAAATTCGCAAAATCTCAATTATAATATCGATCAAGAAAGATGGTATCTGACTATATGCTTTTTGAATTAAATTATATGCTTTGGCTTCAGCCTGCTTATTATAATTTATTATAATTTATTATAATAGGGAAAGGCGAAGAAAACAAGAAGGTTTGCCGAGGTCAAACGCTTATTAAATCCTAACGATTCAAGATTGTGAGCTATTTTATTTTAGGATGCATCATAGTTTTAATTGGTGGATCACGCCCATAGCGGGAACTTGAATCGAAAAACTATACTAATTTCCTAGTTCTGATCAATTAGAAAATCCGTACAAGAAAAACAAAAAAAGAAAAAGGAAGAGAAAGAAAAGGAAGCAGTTCGAAATGTGTGCGCATCCTTAAAATTTAATTTTTATCTTGAAAAAATTAATTGTAATCAGGAATTGATTTACTCGTTTTATATACAGGCCACAAGTAGCCTCTTCTTTATTCTTTAGACATAATGCAGCTTTAGGTCCACCTTATCAAATTTTGGTGGACACAAATTTTATTAATTTTTCAATTCAAAATAAATTGGAACTTGTTCAGGCTATGATGGATTGTCTTTATGCTAAATGTAAGGTTTCGTATTTAAATTTTCTTAATACTTGCTGTAACTTAGTCAATACTTTTTTTTTCAAAAAAATTAGGTATTCCATGTATCACAGATTGTGTAATGGCTGAATTGGAGAAATTAGGACCGAAATACAGGATCGCACTTCGGTAAATATCAAAAATGAACAAAACTTTAATTTCTATTTCTAACATTTCTAATCATTTTCGATTTAGGGTCGCGCGTGATCCAAGGTTTGAAAGACTACCGTGTTCTCACAAGGGAACATATGCAGATGATTGTTTAGTAAGGCGAGTGATGCAGGTATGTATTATATTCTTTTTTTTTGCTTGAATTGTATTGTCCTTATACTCTCAATATTAATATCTTATTATTTTTTAATAAAATAGCATAAATGTTATATTATAGCAACATGTGATAAGGACTTAAAACGCCGTATTCGCAAAATTCCTGGCATTCCTATAATGTATATTTCTAAAAGAAAATATACAATTGAAAGATTACCAGAAAATTACGGTGTACATTCTTGATTTTAAATATCATGATGTATTTGTCGCACGTAATGAAATTGTAAATTTGGATAATAATAATAATAATAATAATAAATTAAATGATTCATTCCATTTATTCTTAATAATGAAGCTACATCGATGTCAATTCTTTAAACACACTAAATGCTTTCAAGATTATCATAAGGCAATTCTTTCGCTAATGAGTAGAGTAGAACAAGTGTAGTGAAAAATTCATCCTCTTAAAATTTTCGGTGGAGGATTGTTCGGTCTTTATTTTTCTAGATCCGTGAGGTGTTTCCTGAGTCGTTGCATGCCATAGATTAATATAATGTTGTTTAAGCATTCTTAGGGACCTTTCGATATCTATAAGAATAATTGGCATGTCAAAATTACCTAAACACAATTTTTAATCACTATTAAAGTCCAGTTTTCTTTATCCAAGATCACTTATAGTGTTTAAAAAGGTACTCGAACCATTTGCCTTTAATAGGCAACTCACCATAAAGTCGCAGCTTGTTACTAGACGTGAATTTTATATATATTTCCATTTCTCTGAAGAAATCAACATCGAGAAATGGGTATATCTCGAAGAATTCTTTTACGATACGATCGTAATATCTTTAAGTATTCTGATTAACTTTTTACGATCTATATATTTTTTTAAATTATCTGAGAAAATGTATTAAAGAATTGATTTAAAAATTTTTACTAAAATATCAGTACAAAAAAAGTTATGGTTTTTTTATACTAGTAAAAATTAATTAATGGTTTAAAGTGTGACATTTTTAGAAGAATAAAATGTTCGTCACAAATTGTTAACTTATATTTATATGTAACTAGATAGCAATAAATATGGCGTTATTATGATTATTCAGGAATATGTCCTGCATGAAGAGCATAAAAAAGATGATGTATATAAAAATAAGTTGATTGATTGATGACCTGGGTATTAATTATCTGGTAGACTTTTTCTCTGAGATATATTTTAAGATTTAACTTTATATTTTTTTAGAAAATCTTCCAACAAGTGATCTAATTGATTTAATAGAGCAGTTGCTTCCTTTT